GGGCCCCGCCCTGGCCCCAGGGGTTGGGGTAGGAATCCCAATTTTACAATTTTGAAGCCTCATCTACCAAGGATGATTCTAACCAAGTTTGAAAAAAATCCATCCACTGGTTCTTGAGAAGAAGTTGAAAATGTAAAAGTTTACGCACGACGCACGACGCACGACGGACGACGGACGACGACGGACGAAAAGCGATTAGAATAGGTCACTTGAGCAAAGCTCAGGTGACCTAAAAAAGGGATAATTAATAATATAATTAAAATGTCTGACCAACATTGTTTGTATACTGTTGTTTTTACACAGTTTATTCATGTTACTCTTTTTGAAGTTAAAAACGTGTTTTTTTATAATTTTTGCATCAATCGATGCAAACAATTCTCTCATTTTAAAATTTTAATGGGTCATGTTTTAATTTGATTTGTGATCGTTGTATTACAAATGGGCCAAGGACAATGGCTGACATGTAAGTCTAAATACTACTAAGTTTCCATGCCATGAGTTTACTTTGAATAGATCGGGTATACTAGTAGTTGACCCATTATCACATCACCCCTGCCTTAACGGTAAGGATATTCAACGTGGTTTATTGTGCATAGATGTGTAATCAATAGGGAGGATTTGCTAATGTACCTGTGTTTTTTCTTATCTGTCCATACGTATAAGCATATTTGTTGTGCTAATGCAAGGGTGCGAAAATCATCCTAGAGCACTTTTGACTCCATTTTAGTATAATTCAGCATTTAATTAACTCTGATGACATGGGATGGTACCAGACATAAGTGAACATTTTCAAGGTGGAAGGGGGGAGGGGGGTTCCAACAAAGTACAGATGGTTTATAAATACATCAGATAGATTATCATTATTGACATGCATCCCTGTACTTAATTAAGCGCTTTGATCCAGAATAGTATAACAGATGTAATAAACCTAATGTGTTACCTGATTATATGGTTATTGTGTGCTATTTTATAAACTCCTGTCCAATTGAACAATTGTTATAAATTAATGATGAGTATAATCACTTTAAACCGCTGCAAATGTCGAAACACAGTAGGGTTAACCCCATCCTCAGAATAGACGATTTAAAGATATTTTTGAACGTTTTCTTAAAACGCATGGTCACTCTAGATCTGTCTTCTATTGGTGACATTACTGAGTCATGACGAAAAACCTAAAACACCGCAGCCCATATTCATGAAACTGGTTTCAAGCTCAATCATAGATTTTGTGCTCTGGCCGAATTTCTTGTTCCCGTAATAAATTATCAGGAAAATCTTATTATGTCAATGATTTAGAAACGACACCCGCTAGGCACACCACAGAGCATAGCTTGAGTCCTAGCAGGCCCCAAGAGATACTATATACATGTAGCTATGACAAGCCATAAACATGTATACTTTGACCACTAAAATTAAGACAGAACAATAAATATCACCTGATATGAATACTCTGAATTAAGTCATGGCATCTTACAGGAATCAATGTAAACATGGAATTCACATCTGGTGCCCTACTAAATATACTTGGAGTCCCTACAAAGTGAACTCCAATGCTAATTGGACTCGGAGTGAACTTGGTGTATGCATGTATTTGTGTACCTAGTGTACATGTACCTGTACCGCTGACAAGCTGTTTTGTCCCCACATTCTATCTTGTCGATATTGCCCATATCCCTTACAAATGTAATGTAAAAATGAAATTTTAAATTACACATGAACACATATTCTTGTAATCATATCATACCATTATACTTACGACAAAGTAGCTTTAAACCGGCTTGTTCTGCGTTGATTTCGTATTGAACAACACAGTGAATACTACACTGCCCACAGCAGCCATGTAAAAGACGGTATCCTCCTCCCGCGATATGCTCTGATCCAGGAAGTTTGAATAAATTAGCTTTGTTGAAATTCAATGGCTGGCGTCATTGTGCGATGACAAGAGATAACCTAACACCCACTGTCTTGTTTGATTGTAAAATAGAAATAGACTTGGTATGTTAGATTGCTGTAGGTTCTAGTGGGTTACGTTAGTTAATATACTTACGGATTCTAAAATAAGTAGTGTATTATATGAGGTTTTGAAACATTTGTCTTAAGGATTGTTTGTGTTTTACGTCCTATTAACAGCTATATTGTCATTTCGGAAGTTACAATGTTTAGATGGTGGAGGAAAGCCGGAGATCCAGGACAAAAACCACCGACCAACGGCCAGTATATGGCAACTGCCCCCACGTAGGTCTCGAACCCACGACCCAGTGGTGGAGGGCTAGTGGTAGCAGAATGTCAGACGCCTTAACTACTTGGGCCAACGCGGTCCCTAAGGAAACATGTACCGGTGGCAGAGCCTCTAACAAAAGCTATGTAAACTTTTCTCTGCGCTAAGGCAATACTTTAAGAAAGCATTTCTGAATAAAAAAAAAATCCCTTATATCTTTCAAACGTTTTTGTGCCTTTTGCGGAGTTAACGAAGCTTTTTCGGATTTTTTTTTTCATTTGACGGAAAAAATACACATAAAAACAAATTCAACTGTAAACATTTTTGTATAAATGTAAAAAGGATCGCGAGAGAGAAAGAGCGAGTTGGAGTTGTCGCAAGAATGGTAGACTTGTACCCCCTGCCTGAACCAATACTTCTAAATGTAAAAAGCAAAATATTGCAAAGCAAATACACAGTCCCCGACCAGGTATTTACCGAGCTGTACACCTATCTCAGAATATGGGTCAAAATGACTCTGTAGTCTGCACTCTGCCCAAGACGTACTTGCATACCAGATTTGATTACTTCAGTTGAATGTATAAAAGATATGCCCTGGACAATGTTTTTCAAAGGATAACGTCAAAGATCAAACATAGTTCACAGTCTCATCCTTCGACTCTTGTACTCTACTCTCAACCATACCATGGAGCTCTTGTGTCGAAGTTGTGTCATCGGCGAAATTTTTCACAGGTTGAGATCAAATAGTATAGAAGATATGTCATAGATATGTTACTGAAAATATTGTGACAAGCGAATGTAATTGCTACCAACATTTGAACAATAAGACCTGTTATTAATGTATATAATTGAAATAAAAGAACAAAAAAGTATATTTTATTTGTTATGTTGCCCCTTATATAACAACATGCATAAACCAGGGATCGAAATCATCGTGTCCTGTTCTTATAGAAAAGCATACAATACCTATGAGATCGTTTATGTATATAACATGCGTATTGCATTCGAATATACCTGGAATTCTATAAATAGAAATATAAATTTTTCATGTAAAAACAAAGATTGAAAACACAATATGTCACAGCAGCGTAAACGAACAAGGACAAAGTAGAAGTCAAAACGACAGAAATCAAAACACATCCTATAACAGAATACTGAAATTAAATACTGAAGGTAGCCATGATATCATATGTGCGTGTTATTTATAGAAACATGAAATCCTGACAAGACTATTTATTCACATTAACACTGATAATATAGCTTGTCTAAATTCAATGTCAAAACAAAAGACAGCACAGATACATTGTAATACAATGGAAATTGTATACGATGATATACTGTAGAAGAATACTTACAGGTGCGTCTCACAACTTCGATAGGCTGTGTATAGGTGTGTCTTGCTGAAAACAAGGAAGTAGCGTTCGTTAAATAATTTGAGTCGAGGTCAAAGTTGAAAAAAGGTTTTATGGTAGACACTTATGAACTGTTTTGATAAATAAAGTCAACCCACTTTTAACTTCGTTAATAATAAAACTAAAGATGATGTAGCTCTAGACAGAGACAGAGACAGACAGAAAAGACAGAGACACCGCCAAAAATAGAGAGTTTTAGAATACAGATAGCAGTGAGGTAGCACCAGATTGCCTTTCAACAACAATTCGACCTCGTTCAATTAGCAAGGGTCCAATAAAAAGGCATTGTTCCGTTGCTAATGATCGACAATATGCTACAGACACCATGATCCTAAACTACGAAAATGTCCAAAATTTTAAATAAGTAAAACCAGTGCAAAATATAAATTTGATATGAAGACACTTAAAAAGGAAAACCAGGCGTTCCGGGAGGGTAAGTGCTGTTAGATTTATCGACGATGCCAGCTATGTAAATATAGGTCAAATCCACGAAAATATAGGTCAAATCAGGTTATTATGAACATAATCAAACATTTCAACCTTCATGTGGCAAATATGAGTAAAATAGTTCCAAATTAAATCATGGAAACCATGACTCTTTCTGAAGTCTGTGTCATTTTATATCTCTACAAGCCCGGGCCTATATTCATGAAACCGTTCTCACGCTTAAGCATAGAAGTCTGTGTTCAAACTAACTTTCTTTGAAAACAGCATAACAGTGTTCGGCTTTAACTCCATTCAATGTTTGTTTCTAAATCATTGACATAATAAGATTTTTCTGATAATTTATTACGGGAACAAGAAATTCGGCCAGAGCACAAAATGTATGATTGAGCTTGAAACCAGTTTCATGAATATGGGCTGTGGTGTTCTAGGTTTTTCGTCAATTGTCGACGTCTGTTACGGAAACGATGATCTCCGGAGCTAGCTGTTGATAACCGAATCAACTGGGACATGTCAACATAGGTTTGGAACCAGGGATATTGCTCTCAGAAAAGGGAAAGTTTATGATGAAAAAAAAGTTTTCAAATTATTCAAAAAGTAAAATAAAACACGTCAGTTACAATAGTTCATGAGGAAAAGAGCAAAGTAACGCCGTTTTGAGCGTAAACGTAAAACCGTTGCTTTTAACGAATATATCACAGATGCGGCATCGCCTTCTCATGCAAACTGATTTCGCCTGTGGCTTAATTTTTAAGGCGATTGTTCAATTTGAATTAAATAATTAGGTAGTCTCTGTGATATGTATCCGAGGTCAACCTGATACTGTGCTGCATATGGAGTTATAAGTTAACGCTGAACATGAAGCGTATCGGCTACAACCTCCTGCACTGAAAGTTACTGAAGAGGAACAAGCAATGTTAAATAAATGTTAAACGATTTTTTTCATTACGACGCAATATGATACAGTGTTCCCCTGTGTATGGAAGATCATAAGGACCACGTATAAACAACAAAATGTAAATATTTTTTCGTTATAGTGCATTTTGTAACTAGAAATTACGACTTAATAACTCGACATTTTGACTTAGTTTGTAGGTCGAAATTCGAATTACCTTTTTGAAATTTCAAGGTTCCTAATACGAACAAAAAAGATTTTTCTGCATGGCCCTGATGCTCTTCCTTACCTGAGGTTGTTAAATACACAGTGAACACGTGTCATGGAATTTTACAATGCATTGTCAACTTGAATTTAGTATAGCAATACCGTAATACAAGGTCAATGCTGAACACGCGGATATAATATGTGTATAGTCAGTGTTGTATCATGATCGCCCCCACCATCACTGTTTGTATGATAGTTTGATTTTCTTGTCTTTTATATTCTCATGTCTTTTTGTGTTGTCAAGAACACGCGCCAGACATTGTTGTAATGCTAACTGCAATACAACGTTCTATGGTTCCTATGGAATTATCAACCGAAGTAAAATAATTTTATTTGTAATTTCGAAAAGAAAAATATCTTTAACGTAAACTTTTGTTTTAGGATTGTCAAACCGGACGGATTTCAGTAACCAGTTACTCGAAAAATCTTCCGAACGAGTAACCGGTTAATCGGTTAGTTTGGTGATAAAACAATACATAGCCGAACCCTAGTACATTGTAGTTTTCCTTATTTGACCCTACTTGACCGTAGTGTTAACCGTAGTGCCATGTTACTACGGTCAACTACGGTAAAAAGTACGGTCAAGTAGGATCAATTAGGTCACCTAGGATCAATTTCGTTCAAACTACGGTCACAGTAAGGTATTGGCATTAAAACTCACTGTAGAGATAATTTGAACATGTTGAAAGGTTTTGGACTTACCAAGGCTAAACCATGAGTTTCTTGAAGTTCAAACTACGATTATAACTACGTTGAACTACGTCTAACTATGTTTAATACGTTTAACTACGGTCATCCCCCACTACGGTCAACTACGTGCGTGACCGTAAGTTGTGACCGCGGCTTTAAGAAGACAAAAATGTCGTACTCTGTTGATATACATCAAAGGATCAAACTCATCTTCATTTCTCATCAACAAGGTGGCGCACATTGAGTCTTGTATTTTGCTGTACCATATCGCAGGGGTGGAGAGAGCAAAAATGTACACTACCTCTTGAATATCGAGGATGGCGAGCCGCGTGTGTTTAATGTTGATATGTCAGATCGCAGGGGTGCAGAGAGCGCAAGAAAGCGTAACCCTTCGTTGATTTCACCATATAACCCTGAGCATTGTTACCATACCACTAATGGTGCATTAGGGTTATTCCCTCCCTATGACAACATAATTATTCTAAATACTACATACAAATGTACAGATAAAATGCCAGTGTGTCTCAGCAAATTGGTTTTTAATTGTGGTTTGTGCAATTCAAACAGTTCAGGTTGGTCCATTATGAAAAGCATGCTTTGTAACCGTTCGCTTAACACAACTACACTCCGACAAAGTTGTTAACTATGCGAAAAATGAAAAGAGAGTCCGACCAGGAACCATGTGCATGCTGGTTCCGATAAGATTAATAATTTAATTATAAGACTATATTCATCTTTGGGTCCAGACCTGACTGATAAGGACACATCCTCCTTGCCAATTCGATCGGACCAAGGGTGAAGTGATCCGATTGCCAAGATTCACATGATTGAGAATAATCGTAAGTCAGGAGACTGAACGCCACTACCAAATAGCAGCCACTATATGTCATTGCACAATTGGGCAAACTCGACAAATGCCATTTAGTCCTACTCAAGAGGAAGGAATTTAAAGACTTACCCCAATTTTCTCTGTGGGTAACTAACCCTCTGCCAAGGAGGTGCACTCTATGTTTATAATTTGTCTCAAAGATGCTCTGGAACAAAGTTTCAATTAAAAAAATATACACAAAAGTTGGATTTTTTTTATCCTAACAGAATCCCTAATATCAAATTAACCTCTATTTTCCGCATTAAGCCTCCCCCTCCCCATGATTGGTACCTCATTAGCTCAAGGATGACCCCTCATCCCCAACCCAACACACACACGCATAATACACAAAGAAACGGATAAAATCACTTTTTAGGCTATATAGCTACAGAGGACAAATTTTAAAGTTTTATCTCGATTAAAAGTCTTGATCTAATTATCCTTTATACAATTTGGATCCCGTTATTCATAGAAAAATATTTATTGAGTTTCTACTCACTTCCGCTAGGGGAGGACACACCCTTTATTCTGCAAAATTGAGTTTGTTATGACTCGTGAATGCTCCATAGTGACTAAAACACAATCCCTATATTCTTATAAAACAAAATGGATTTTAAACTTTGTATTCCGATTCCTGTATTTGGTCCTGCAGATCTGCTTTCGGGTTGGGGAAGGGGTAATTAAATATATACAAAATTGAGTTCCGTGGTTTAAGGATGCTCCAGAACAAATTAGTTAAGATCTAAAACCTTGACACCTTCAGCAGAATATGTGTTTTAAAGGAAACCCTCTATTTCCCCTATTGGGTCATGCTCTTCTGCTTCAAGGGGACTACACCATCTTTTTATACAAAACTCAGTCAATTTATTGCAGGATGTCCCAGATGAAAGATTGACAAATTCTCCTTCTTTAACTTAAGAGGAATAAAGGAGGAATAAAGGTTTTGGAGATTAACCTCTCTATCCCTCATTTGGCTCCTCCCATTTGCCCCAGTGGAAACCAAACACTTCCTTAAGTCAAAACCGCCGTATTCCTACAAAAGATTTACCCATATTTTCCTAATTTTGCCCTGCAATTCTGCCATTAAGGAATTCAAACCCTCTATTTGTTCAATACCAACAATGCTTTAATTGATGTTCAAGAGTAAATTCACATAAAGTATCTTTTCCTACAGTAGAAGAAACAATTTTTTTTCTCCGCTACTTTGCCTGTTCCTCTTCCACTAGTGGGAGGGGCGCACCTTCCGTTTTATGCAAAATTGAGCCCACTTGGTCTAAGGATGATGCAAGGTAAGTTTGGACAAAATCTATTTGTTCCTATAATGTTACGGTACCCGCATTAAATTTTATACGTATTTGAACATTTGCTAGTGGAGGAAAAAGAACAGAAAATTCTATTTAACCTCCAGATCTACTTAAAGCCTTTCGAGCACAGTGTCAGAATGTTCAGCTAAACTAACCGCGAATGTTTAAAAATAATTTTTAAATACTATTGTGCAATTTATCACTGTGACAATCTCCTACTGCTCTCCATTAACATGTATGATAAGATTTACCACTGTGACAATCCCCTACTACTCTCCATTAACATGTATGATAGGATTTACCACTGTGACAATCCCCTACTACTCTCCATTAACATGTATGATAAGATTTACCACTGTGACAATCTCCTACTGCTCTCCATTAATATGCATGATAAGAACTTGATTCTGGTGCATGTGCATGATTCTAAAAAAGGAATCCTTTGGAGACAGTTGGTAAACTTATCCTTTTAGACTCTGTCATAGCCCCTGGATTGGGACAGACGGGAACCGAAATTAATAACAATTTGATAACTTTACCACTAAGACTTTTGAA